GTGTGTGTGTGTGTGTGTGTGTGTGTGTGTGTGTGTGTGTGTGTGTGTGTGTGTGTGTGTGTGTGTGTGTGTGTGTGTGTGTGTGTGTGTGTGTGTGTGTGTGTGTGTGTGTGTGTGTGTGTGTGTGTGTGTGTGTGTGTGTGTGTGTGTGTGTGTGTGTGTGTCTGTGTGTGAGTGTTTGTTGCTGTACTTACAGAGGGGAGGAGTGGTTTGCATGGTGTCCAGGAGGCCTCACAACTGCAAAACCATTCTGTGGGAGGAAAAAGCCAAAACTGTAACACCTTTCTGCTTTCAGGGGTCGCACAGTTCACATCTTCTGGCACCTGGCCAAATAGATGCTGTACTACTATGTTCATGTCCACCATCTTGCTACAGAAGGAGGGTTGCTTAAGCAATGTAGTCTTTACTTAATGGTAGTTTACCGCACAACCTGTTGCAACCTGATAATAACATAAACATGGCATTTACTGATAAGAGACACACCTTTAGCTCTCCTTGTGCCACCTTCAGTGCCAGGTCGGTGACACATCCTGCTGCGACACGGGAAGCTACCCACGTGTGAAGCTCGTTCCAGACTGTATCGATGTCAACCTGTGAGAAGAAAAGGGATGAGATACGTAGAGTCAGTCCAAAGTCAGCCTCAGATGACGATATTTTTTATATTCATCAAAACTGCACTGTCTTGACTGATCCATAAAGAATTCCTGAGATGCAGTCAGACCAGTACATCACAGTGACACTTAGAAATGCAATTCAGCAGGTTTAACCACATTTCATTAAGTCCAGCTGCTGTCGGTCAATGAGTCAGCTCATAGTTTTGTTTATGATGATCCATCAAATTGAAACATACATAAAATGAAATGTATTTTTAAACGCACTTTCTTATTTTTGAATAATAATAAATAATCATTATTTTAGTGCAGTCTATTCTTGTATTGTATTTGAAACAATGTAAATATATGGGAGCAGACCTTCTTCTAGTCCTTCTGTGGATGCTAACAATTGTATAGAGTCTTATTTTTTCCCACATCATCGTTCTCTTTGTTATTCTATAAGCCCCGTGTTGTGTTACTCCATGTTTCAAAACTCACTATGGTGGTGTGCTGTGGTGGAACAATGAAATCAGAGGAATTTCTTTTATCACAGACTTTGCCATCTTGTTCCAATCACCCCTCTTCACCAGAGCAGCCAAGGTCCGGAAATCCAGGCGGATCAGTCGTCTTATCAACTAACACCCAGCCCCCTCCTTCTTCTCCTTACTCTCCTCTCCTCCTCTCTTATCTGCCTTTTCTCATTGTGCAGATGTACAGACTTTTCAGGGCAGTTTTATCTGTGACCCGATCATCAGGCATTTTAGGTCTTTGTATGTCTCTTTCATTATACCTTCTTTCATGGTCGTTTACATTGAATACATTCTATCCTCCAACTTTAAACAATTTATCTCCTTCTTCTGTATTCTCCTCCCCTGTTTGCCCCCACCCATTCCCTCTAAATAAAGTCTAGCTTCACAGTCACGCACCCCTCCAAGCTAAAGTCTCTATGTATACCCTCTTTTCTTCCTTTTTCCTATCTCACCTTTGTACCGCCTTTGATTTCATATTTGGTTTCAAAGTTATCTTAGCCAAAAACAATAGCATTAGCAATTTGTACTATTATTAGTTTAATTGTGTAATGAGGTATAATCAGCCATGTCATGTTTGCTGTACGCAATTTGGTAAGTGGAAAGATTCCCACAGGACTTGTACTTTTAAAATGGGTAACAATGTGTGTGAGTGTGAGTGTGAGTGTGTGTGTGTGTGTGTGTGTGTGTGTGTGTGTGTGTGTGTGTGTGTGTGTGTGTGTGTGTGTGTGTGTGTGTGTGTGTGTGTGTGTGTGTGTGTGTGTGTGTGTGTGTGTTTGTATGGTGTGTGCGTGGCACTCACCCCGACTCCTCCACATGGTAGCATCACAAAAATACGTTCAGATAAGATTCCTGCAGAAGAATATGTGTGTCATTCAACTGCCATGGATGTTTATATTACTATTATAAGAGCATCATTATTTTATTTTTTTAAATATTGATTTTACCAGCCAGTTTACGGTTGTCCAGCTTGAGGCGGTTGAGGGGGTTGGTGCCGAACAGAAGAACATGTTTCTCTGAATGGACTGACTGCAGCTCCTCTAGAGTGGCCTTCCTACTGGGGATGCGCTACATACACACAGAAACAAATACAAACTGCTTATAATACTGACTCTTGGGGTATGGATCTTCCAGTGTGTGTAGTGTGTTTGTGTGTGTTTGTGTGTGTCATACCTCACACTGGCTCCTGAAACCTGTTTCATTTAGTCTGGACCAGATGCTCTGGACCCTCCCAGCATGCTCAGGGTGGCGGCTGTTGTCCCCGCAGGTACACTGGTGCTTCTGCATCTGAGAGTCATAAACCAGACCTGGACACACAGAGACAAAACGGAAACACACAGAAATAAACATTTAAACATTAGTTTCCTCAGTATTTCATGTTTTACATCATACATGATTTGAACGTAACATTTGTCTTGAAGAAATGAGGAAAGCGCTCCTCACCTGTGGTGAAGCGGAGCTGGGCTTCTGCTGCAGGGCTGGACAGGGACAGGGAAGGTATGGCTGTGTGTGGGTGTGGAGGCAGAGAGGTGTAGGCCGGGGAGGACTGGGTCCGACCCAGAGGCTGGTGAGGCCAAATGAATGCAGGCCCACTCTGGGAGTCCTGCTGGAGACCTGATCTAAGGATCACCTGCCTCTGTGGGTGAAGGGAATGAAGGAGAGTTGAACAGCAGTAGCGCATGGTCTGAACTTCAGACCACGCGCTACTGCTGTTCAACTCTAATTCTAATTTTAAAGATTTCTCCAGTTATTTCAGACTCTGAAGTAACTGGAGAAATCTTTAAAATTGAATGCCTCTCTCGCAAGTACTGATTATTTGGTCAATCTAATACTTCCTCTCTAGAACAAGCAGCTGTTAAAGAAAATACAGCGTAAGCAAGCTTTCTTACACAATACTGTAACTCTCCTTTTTTTCACATTGAATAAATAAAGCTACAGCGCCCTCTGTTGTTCAAAACATGTGTGAATGATTGTATATAAGCACTTCGGATGCAGATTGTAAACTTGTTTCTAGAAAACAAGTCAAAGCAATATATAATGCGTGCTTATCTTTTCCTTTAACATTTAAGTAACCCCCTTTGCAACCCCCATGGAATTAAGTGAGTTTATATCCATACCTGGCTGAGAGAGTGTGAGGGCTCGATCAAGCTGTCCCGTGAGGAGGTGGTGGACTCAGTGTCGTAAACTGAGTCTGGGCTGGCAGTGCTCTGTCTCCTGCGGAAGCTGTCCTCACACATGGAGCCGGGTTCTGAATCACAGACGGACCCGGGCCCCGAACCAGATCCTGATCCGATCTCCTCCAGGTCCATGTCCTCTGATAGGATCTGTGTTAGGCGAGGCTTCTCAATGGTCGTCAGCTGATGTAGGGTAAAGGTTTTATAGTGTTAACAAGTATTAATGTTTCCATTGTTCTCTTTAACATGCATTCGCATCAACAAAAAAAGGCATTGTTTATTTGTATGCAACATGCCTGCCTCCCCTCACCTTGCTCAGGTGTGCGTTCTGTTTGAACCTCTCCAGCCCGCTCTTGTGGTATTGCTGAGTCAGCGAGTGCTGGATGTGTGTGTGACGGCTGGCATGCAGCGTGAGGGGTGAGTGGCTGTAGGGCGAGGGCTCTGAGTGTGTTCGCTTCAGGGGTTTGTGGAAGGGAACTGCACCCTCCCTCCTGGTGGGGGAGGACAGGTGAGGCTGCTGCTGCAGCTGCTGCAGAGCAATGGAGCTCAGACCATGAACTGCAGGGAGGAGAAGAGAGAGCAGCAGGTTATCAGATGGAAAACAAAGAGGCTGGCCGATGGAACAGGAGGAGGGTTGGAGGTTTGAATATCTTTTTTCAGTTTCTTTGTGAAACTGCATTTCGGTCAAGCGCCAAGTAGAGGGCGCCCTTGTTCTGTATATTTTTAAAAGTATTATGGCAAAAATAAATCTAGACCCTTCAGATCAATATTGCTAAACTTTGTAATTTAATGTGCATCCACATTTTTCACAGCACATCATTTGACTAATTCAGCAGGAGGGGCTCAGGGGTAACACCACGACCCTGCACATGCAGATCTTAAAGGAGCTTATGACTGTATGAGTTCCACATGTGTGTTTCCTGCTAAAGACAAGTTAAAATGTTTGCTGTCAAAAAGTTAAATTATTAGTATTTTTTTATGGTTATTACCTACAGCCGTCGGCACAAGATTAAATCTGAAGAAGGAGGGCTAAATATTGCCCAATACTAAAATGAACAAACAAGGTGAAAACCTTCCTGCATGAATAACATTACTTCCTGACTACAGACAGTATAGAAAAACATACACGTCCTAACAGAGTCCCTTGATCTTTTATGGTGAAGTTGTACCACACCAGTTCCTGTGTACCTGTACTACGTTTGACGGAAACAGATCTGAGTTGAGTATTGGAAGTTGGTTGATGTCTTAGTAAACCATCCTTTCTTTGAAATGCCTTGTATATCCTTTACTTTGATCAAATATTCCTTATAGTTATTTTGTAATCAATTATTAACAATTCACCCTGCTTTGAAAGCCCCCTCTGTCTTCTTTGAAGGGTGTTTCAATATTGTCTGTGCTACTCTGGCCAGAATTCTGTGTTCATCCGTAAAATACTTGCATGTAAAGCATTGTGTATAATGTCACCCAAAGGATGCACTGGACATGTAAACCATCAACAGCAAGGTCCAGGGATTTTATATAGATCTCTTTGATCTACTGTAGCTTGGATTGAACTGATTTGTATATCGCTGTGGACTAAAGTGTCTACCAAGTGAATAAATAATAAATAAATAGTAAATCTGCTTAGTTCTCTATACCTCTCGGAATTCAGCGCATGCCAGTGTTCTTCACGAACAAAGCAACAATCAAACATTTGCCAAATATCACAGCAACAGGCTCCTCCCTGAAATATAAGAGGGAGGCACCAGGTTTCCAAACCCCCTTTTAGTGGTGGTGCCAGATCATTATTATGGTTATTCAAGATGCTTTGCATGAACCTTTTTGTAGTTGTACCGGATGATCATGCTTGCATTAATAAGGTCAAGTACGGTATGTGTGCTTGTGGATTTGTGGAATAATTAAGACTAGGTAAAGCAAGGGTGTCAAACTCAATTTCATCGCGGGCCATATTAGCATTATGGTTGCACTCAAAGGGCCGGTTGTAACTTTAAGACTATGAAAAAATCTACATATATAAATATATATAATAAAATGTATTATATTACATTATTGCCTCTGCATTGGATTACAATCGGATAGGGTAATAACTTTATAATTAACTACGTCTGAAAGCAGAAGTCCAGGGCAAATAATTGCAAGTCTCTTCAGTGCGCATGTCACAAAATTAGATGCATTGTGGGACATGTAGTTTATGATCAACGTGCTTCTGTAAAGCGGCATCTAACCGTATAATGAACAGATTATATTCTTTGCAAGCTCTTGCGGGGCCACATAAAATGAGGTTGCGGGCCTGATTTGGCCCACGGGCCTTGAGTTTGACACCCCTGATAAAGCATTTACATTTTGCTCTGTTTACATGCGCAGGGAAATGATAGCTAAATCAGGAATACATCGTGTTTACGAGTTTTGAAATTGATGTTGTTTTTTTACTGCAGAAATGTCTGATATTCCTTCGTAGGACCTTTTGCTATTTGACTTAACATTTACAGCTTCACAACTCACACGAGACAAGTTGTGTGTGCACCAGGCCCGTGTGTGGTTCCAGTATGAGCACAGGCTGCAGGTGCTGACCCAGGCCTGGATTGCTTCCTTCCAGAGGCAGGTAGACCTGATGCAGAGCCGATAGTGCATACGGCCGGTTGACGCGCTTATCAGCCTTGAAGAGAGGGGAGGAGAGGAGACATGATGGTAAGAAACGCAGGACAGATCACAAGGAAAAAGGAAAGCCCTTTTCATGGTTGCAGCTTAGAAAATGTGCATTAGTCTTAATGGTCACGTTAACATTTTCATCAAGTGAGTAAAGTACCACATGACTGATTCACTAGATATGAAAGCACCACAGATAGAGAGGGAAGTGAAAGCCTGAATACACCACATGTTTCTATAAGTGTTCTAGTGAGCAGGCACTTTTTTAGACATTCAGTCTTACACATATATGGCATGAATGTGTGTTGCTGTGATATGTACATATTTGTTGTTGTGAAATGGAAGCAGTATGTATATTGATTCTTGAAGGTATCGCTGCTCACCTGCGCAGGAAGTCCAGCAGTGATGTTGGGCATGACAGTGGAGTTGGAGGGCAAAGTGAAATGGGCCAGCAACCTCTGCGCCTGAATGAGATAAATATTCATTATACAGGATCAAAAAACATCAAAACACATATTTGCATAACAACGTTTAATTTGTCCTCTCTTTTTGATGTCATATATTAACTTCCACAATTCTGACTGTTTAAAAAAAAAATCCAAACAAGATTTGTGTGTTTAAAACTGATGACACCCACGCTACTGTAGGCCATCTGGCCTTCTCATATCTCCCTGTTTAAAGCATTGGACACCATTACTGCCCTGCATTAAACACCCCAATTCATATTCAACTGCTGGTCGTTGTTTTTTAAAGAGCAGGGGTGAAATCCCATAGTTTTTTAGAGTTACTGAATTGATCTTGTTGAGATCTACATGTCTCTTGTATAATACAGTGGAATTTGATTTTGTTTTAAATAATACAAATTTGACGCCCATCGATCCTGCTTTTGCATTTTTTAGTAAAACTATTAACTATTTATTAATTACCAATTTTCTCTTTCGAAAAAAATGGGCTACGCATACAGTAGGTCTGTCATCTTTAATTTCCTTTCATTCTGTTGTCGTCTTTCTTTGAGTGAGGAAACCGATTAAACAATTTGGAGCCTCTCCTCAACCGGACCGGTTCTCAATTACCTTCGCTAATTGTGTTCAAGTATTCTTGAGCAGAACGCTGATCCCTAATCACTCCTTATATGTAAATGCGGTTAAGAAAGTCTGCTATTAACAAATATCAAACAAGGCTCACCTCATGAGCCAGCGGGAAGTGCCCGTTATCTGAATGGAGGCTGTCGTTGGGTGAGCTGCACCCTGATGCTGGGTTGCTGCTGCTGCTGGTGGAGGAGTCTGCGTGACAGAAATCAAACACGCCCATCAACTCATGATAGCTAATAGTGAGAACAGTTGGGTTCATAGAGTTGAATCAAACTGCGTCAGAAACAGTTTGTATTGAAATCACATAGAAATAGAAATGGCATATCAAATCAGCATACACTTGAATCACGAGTATTCCAGATAAAGATGAAGGTACTGTACCCAGATTTTCCGTCCTGTGCTTGACGGCGGGGGGGGCACTGATCTTGCGCTGCAGCGGGTTTGGCCTTGAACTGAGGAGCTTCTTCAACTTCCATTTCAAACTGGGCTCAGAGACTGCACACACACATATACACAAATCATTACGTATGTGAGGAAGCACACACTGACGGATATTCTTATCCCTAAAGTCATTACATGAAAAGGAAGCTCAAAGAAAGTAATGACAAACTGTTCATTCTCAACATGCTTTCACTCAGTAATTCACATACTATAAGGACCCACTCAATATCCATAACAAAACTAAGTCAAAGGAATCTGTAGCACAGCTGAACCAAGCAAATAACTCAGCCCTGGTCAATAGTAAAAAAAAAAGTCTCGTGTTTACATTGGTAAGCTCAAACAAAACAATCAATCAGTGGCCATCTCAGAGCAGATTAAAGGCAGCTTTGTGTTGTCACCCTGCCAAAAAAAGTACTGGAGGGTGTGGGTGTGCGTGTGCGTGTGCGTGTGCGTGTGCGTGTGTGTGTGTGTGTGTGTGTGCGGGCAGGGGCGTAGCACAAAACTCCGGGCCCTATCCAGCATTAGCTGACACTCTTCTTCTTCTTTGAATTATCTGTGTTTAGAGCAGACCCCTCAGGGCACCTGAGAGTTCTAAGGCCAACGCAAACAACACATGTGTGTGTACTCGCAGCGATGTACAGTAAGACGAAACCACTCCCCCTCTCATTCACAGGGTGAGGGAGACCGGTTCTGGACTCTCACGAGGTTCATTTTACAAATACCTTCTTTAGAGTTATATAACTGCGTTGGTCTTTTTGTCTCGTTGGCATTTTGATGACTGTTCGTTCTCTCTCTAGCCATGCAGGCCTGGTGCTTAATGAGTTTCCTGCGTCTCACTGGAAAGGGCACTTTGTTTTTCTTACGTGCAGAATATGTAACATAATGGCAGTTTGCTCACAACACTGAGAAGCATCGCGCTGAGCAATGTTTCCCCACAGAGCTATGCAGTCAGATGACTTTGAATCTTACTCGAATTACACAGTTCAGACTTGAAATGGAAAATCACCTTCGGGGCTTTAAGCTCAGGGCGTGAACCCTCATCACAGACACAAATAGGCAGAGGTGTCTCACCTGTCCTGCGCAGGGCGAGGTCTTTGCGCTGGTCACACACTGTAGGCTGAGACTTTGGGGACATGTCAGGAACCGGGAGCCTAGGTAACCAAAACAATATTGCAAAAACAACTTCACTCATGAACACCTGAAAATGCATCGTTACAAAGCTTAACCAAGGGCTGTTTTTGAGAAGTTCATGTAACGTTTCTGAGAGATGAAAGGTTCTCACAGGACAGCGACAAAGCATCAAGCATGTGATGAACTTATATCATTTGATGCATTGTTGTATATTATACTACTGTGCAGTTTATTAGGGAGTTGAAATGAGCACAACCTAAAACATACACAACATAAAGCAGTAATATAAATCCAAAAACATCATATACTTTAGTAAAACACTAACAGTGAACATTTTACTGCACAACTGAGCATTATAACTTTACATTTTTAGAACCACTATTTTACCTAACTAAGGTTTTAATGCAGACATCAGCGTGGACATCAGTGTGGTTTAATACATCTTTTTTGTATTTTCTGTTGTATTGTTATTGTATTACTTTCATCAAGGGAATAGGCCGTTCTTACACAGGGTATATGCAGGAATCCAGAAGTCGAATTTAATCCCTTTTAAGACCTTTTTAAAGATCTTTTCCATACATTTTAAGACCTCATCGCCACGTCGAGTTTTAACCGGTTACATTGGCGACACACTTTATCTCACATTGACTATATACAGTATTGATTGTCCTTCCTCCTTATCTTCCAACCATTTGGACGCAGACTTGCATTTCCCCATAACGATGTTGTTTAACAACCGGCGTAAACGGACCTCCGCGCTATCAAACAGTGAGCGTGCGATGTCCTGTTCAGATGACGTCAAATCCAACGGGAGGCCATAAATAAACTCCACAGAATCACACTACACACCTACGCAATGATTACATTCAGGCAGACTGTAGAATACAACCTCTTTGGACAATTCATATACTTATTGAAAACAAGCTACAAAATGTAATACCTTGGAAAATGCCGTTTCATACTTTTTAATAGCCTTCATTTTCGCTAAATAGATTGATCAACTTTTAATACTTTGTAAGACCCCGCGGACACCCTGTTACAATATGCCTGAGTGTTTGCTAAATGTGTGATGTTGCACAGTCTAAGTTGAAAGTTAAGCATCATTGATGTGTTTGTCCGTTTGTCTCTCTCACCTGTATCCTGGGGAAGGACTGCTGTGGGTGGGGGTGAGCCTGTCATGGGTGGGATGGTTCTTCATAATGATGTGTTCCCGAAGTTTCTGTTTTACCAGAGGACTGGCCACAGCACCTATTCACAACAAAGTCACTTCATCAGGAAAAAGACAATGCGGCCGATAATGTAGAACAATGTTTTTTCATGGAGAAAAGGCACTATAAACAATATTTTGTATCAAAACCAAGTCAATAGACTTCTAAAGCAGGATTCAGGGTATTTGTCACTTTCCTTCAAGATCGCTTCATTTCCTCTACATGGTTGAAACTAAAAACAGCACAAAGTGTTTCCTGAAAGAGATGTGTTTGTTTGACTTTTGGTTTGATATGAGTACGAATTTCCTTGGAATCTGAGAATACATCACAGCGCTGTTGGAAATCCCCTTCTTTTTCACTGAAACATACAGTGTGTGCTATGACTCGGATGAAGAGCACCCCAACAGCCAACTGGTCTTACAGAGAACCTGCGAAAGCCCATTGCAGTTGTAACAAATACATTATTATGTCATACTCACTGTGTTCATTTTTACTCTTTTGTATCAGCTGTTGTAGCTCTTCTCTTTTCTCCAACTCCATGTTATACTGAGAAGAACAAATGAAGAGATGTGAACCCTGACCAATACAGTCTTTTTAGACTCGGCATGTGAGATATGCACAAAAAGAGACAAACATTGCTACAGCCACAAACACACTGTGCCTCAGATTTGGATAGAAATTCATGTTAAAATATAGAAATGTAGCACTACAGGTGAAAATCATCATCACTCAGAATCTAATGCTGAGAAGATGGTCTGTTTACAGTAACCTGACCTGCTTCTTAATAACTTCTGCTGAGAAATCATTAGCCTGTGTAAAGACTGGAAAATTAAGTTTAAAGAAAGGTGAAGGAAAATAACCCTAATTTGTAGGTTTAGCCGATGTATTCACGCTGCTACTGGGAATGGTTTGCGCAGCTAAAGCTTTCCGCTGTAACCGTCCAACGACACTGGCTCAGGACTTACCTGCAAGTGCTGCTGGGAAAACTGGGAGCAGTGCTGAGAGGTGAGGGGTCCCAGAAAAAAGGGAGGGTGGGGGGCCAGCATGGCCGAATCTAAGACTGGATGTAACAGCCTCTGGGTCACACTGAGGTCCATGGGCTGCTCCCCATGTAGGGGAAATGAAACCTGGTTGCTGATGATCACATCCACTACAGAAGGAGAGAAAGAAAGAACAATTAGATATTCATTTTACTGAAGGGCAATACTTTCTATGCTTATGGATGCCAATGTGGGGTTAGGATGATCTGTCTCTGGAGCATCTGTTGCTTTCCTTATATGTGACTTTTTTCGGTGCCACTTTACAATAAGACTACCCTTATAAAGGATTCATAAAGGGTTTATAATTAGGTTATGAATTAGGTTGTAAACACTTTATTAATCATTAAGAACCATTTATAAACCAGTTCTAACATAGTTTTCATGCATCAACACAGGCTCACTATTTGGCAAGATGACTAAGCCTTATATTGGCTACTTAGTGAGAATCAACTCAGTGAGCAACAGATACCAAGGATGCTGGCTGATGAAGAAGACAAAGTAAGCTAGGTAGCGCATTTCCACTACAGCGCGGAGGGCTCTGGCACAACAAAATGAACATATTTGACCGTGATTTAATTTTAATACATTTCAAAATGATGCTGAAGTAACAACATACTGATACCGGTTAGTAAAAACCATGAATTAATGCTTTGACAAGTCTGCAGAAAGACGGCAGGCGAACAACCTTTTA